AGAAGGGGGGCAATGGGGGGAAAGGGGGACGTCTGTAATACTTTCAACAATAAAGATAAAGAAAAAAACATTATTCGGAATGGGGTCCTCAGGCTTCACCAGACTACCTAAGGGTCCATGACACAAAAGGTTGATCATCTTTGTCCTAGAGAGTGATGGAGCCCCTGGGAGGAAAACCACCCGCAGGCCCGTTCACGTTGGACTGGTACACGAGCGCTACGTTTCCACAGTGTTAAGGCACAGACCTCACGGGCTCACCCGCTACGGTCGCCCAGCCTGCCACCCCGCCAGTCTCCACTGCTGCCCGCAGGAGAGGCCTCCTGCCCTGTGCAAACCCAGACGCCGCGCCAGGGCGAGTGTCTGGCCACAGAGTGACAGCGGGGAGGACAGATTCTAACTGCTGGGGGCTCGCCACAGATACTCACAGTTAAACCACTTGACGCTGGGGCTCCACTCACTCCACAGGCTGTCGTACCCCTGAGCCCAGGCCTTCACCCGTGCGCTGTAGAAAGCCCCAGGCTTTAGGGTGGTGGCTGAGAAGCGGAGGATGGGCTCCAAGTAGGTCACATTGTAGACTACGAACTGGTGGAGGGGAGGAAAGACGTCACTGCGCCAGCTGGGGCGAGAGGAGTGCCAGTCCCACTCTGGCTGCTGCCCTTAGCTGACCCCACAGTGGTTAAGAGCCACCCGTCTGGATGTCTGGCTGTTCCTCCAACTCAGGCATTGTTTGCGACTTCCATAACTGTGACCAGGCTGGCGTGAGACGGGTCAGGAAATGGGCCCTTACCCCACCCCACTGACCAGCGATATGACGTGACTGGGGCAAGGCGATTAACCTTCCTGAGCTTTAGTTTCTTCCTCTGAGGGTAAGGGTCCCTACTGTCACTTCTGGGCTGAGTGACCTTAGGGAAGTGATCTCAATGTCTTCTTCTGCCCGCCTCCCAGGGCTGCTGTGAGGACTAAACGGGCTCACGCAGCCAAGCGCTCAGGACGGGGCCTGGCACAGAGAGCCACGCGCTCCTCTCTCCTTCACGGGCTCTCTAGGGCCTCACAGTCGAGCCCAAACCCACTGGCCTCGCATCGCAGCCCCGCTCAGCCCAGACTCCACTGGGAAGAGACGTCCAGGATCTGCTGTTAAGTGGATAAGGTAACATGGCGATTGGTATGTGTTGCCTGCTGCCGGTGGTGTTACAAAAAACAACGGCAAACTGACTCTGAGAGGGCTCCCAAGAACCCCACCCTGTAGTTCCCCTTCTGCGACACACTCTTCTCGAGTGTGGGCAGGACCTGTGACTTATTTCTCACGGACAGAACATGCAAAGGTGGTGGGTGTGCAGGACCACGCGCGTGATTACATTATGTGAGATCGTCGTTCCAACCGGCAAGGGCACCCTCTCTCTCCCCCTCGCTGGCTTGGAGAAGGCCACAAGGGAAGGAGTGGAGGGTGGCCTCCTGCTGAGGGCAGGCGAGGACCTGCGGCTCTCAGTCCAACAGCCCACAGGAAACGAAATGCTGCCAGCATCACAGGAGCCTGGCAGTGAGCTTTCCCTAGTCGAGCCTCAGGTGAGACCACAGCCCCGGCCAACTCATCATTTGCAGCTGAGGACCAGCAAGGCCGTGCCCAGACTCCTGACCCCCAGAAACTGGGGGGCAATAAACGTGTGCTCTTGAAAGCAGCTGTGTCTGAGGTGACATTATTACGCAGCAATGGGAGACTGACAAGGTGATAAATGGACATCCACATTTGCTGGCACAGACGTAAACTCCGGAAGGACACCCACACCTCCAGGCCCTCTGCCTGCTCCAACCGGCCTCCCTGCCCCGCTGGCAAGAGACAGAGCAGTGGTCGACCTCTGGGAAGAGGCGCTGGAGGCCGAGGTTGGCGTTGGAAGAGAAACACATCTCCATTCTAGGTCCTTTCTACCATTTGAATTTTTGGCTTCATGTAAAAATTACTTTTTAAAAAACCTTAAAAAAATAACATGAAAGAAGATCTGTGTTCAAGATCAATTCTGCCAGCAAGTGAGTGGCTCGAGCCTTCTGCCTGGAACTCCTCTCCCTGCGGGGCCCCCCCTTTGCAGCTCTCCCTGCTCTTCTGGCCCCTGCAGCCCCTTCCCAGCTACTGGCAGCTCTGCTTCTGCTGGAGGCTGGAAGCGTGTTGGGGGAAATGCCTTGTGTGAAGTGAGCTGAGGGGAGGCTGAAAAACAGGGAAGCAAAACTTCAGCAGGTTGCTGGTAACCGGGGGGAAGCCAGAGCTCCCCAGCGGAGGGAGGGTGGTGGAAGGTGCAGGCCAGGGCGTGGGAGGGCGAGGGGATGGGGATTTCCAAGGCCCGTGGCACTTGGGAGAAGTGAAGGGTGCTGTAGCTCTCTGTGCCGGGCATGGGAGCTTATCTGGGTCACCCACTTCGTGCTCTCAATAGCCGATGGGGTGCTACTCTTGTTATCCCCCCGCCACACAAGGAGGCTGAGTGGCATGCTCGAGAACACGCCGAGGGCAAGCTGCAGGGCAGGTACTGGAGCCCAGTTCTGGGGGACACCGGGCCTGCAGTGTGCAGGTGGCCCTCCAGTAGGAATGTCGAGGGGCAAACATGGTGGCGGGATGTGACTTCCACCCCTACCTGCAACTAAAACTGTGGGGCCCCCCCATTGCTGTGCCCATCGCTAGTAACTGCCTGACAGGTGGCTCAGCGCCGCTGGGAGGTGCCTGCGCCCATTTAGAAAGGAGCCGCTGCCTCGGCGGGGCCCCAAAAGCAAGCATCGGACACCACGAGTGCCACACAAAAGTAATCGCAGTGAGACCAGCGACGGCACTCAGTTCTGGCTGAACCTGCTCCTGGGGGAGGGCTCCGAGCCCGCAGCCTCCTCTCTGTTACAACGAAGGGCGAGTGAGCCCGTCAGCTCCGCTCAGCTGAGTCGCCTTCCTTGACCATTCAGGGTCGGCAGGGAGACGACACTGAGTGAAGGTCTCCTGGTGGGCCTCAGTCATTTAAACGTGTTCCTGAAATCTCAGTGTCCCTCCCGGCTGTGGGACACACAGCCGTGGCCCAGAGCCTCCTTTACAGGGAGGAGCAGGGCCACAGATCTGCACACTGGGCTTCGGGTGAGGGGTGGAGGGACAGAAGCCCCTCTAGGTCCCTGGGGCTGCTGTGAGCCTGGGGCCAGAACCCCCACAGCGCCCACTCACCTCTGTGGGGTCGTTGTCATTGGAAATGTTGACCATATAGGAGAGCTCGAGGTGCAGGAAGCTCTCATGAGAGTACGGGATGCTCCAGGTCAGCTGCCACTGGCCCGAGGCGCTGTTGTCAATCGTGAGGTTTCTGGGGGCCCTGGGTTTCACTGCAGAGAAGCAGGGCCTGGTGAGGACTTGTCACCCCGGGCCATTGAGGTTCTTACTCACCACCACCACCGTGTACATTTGTAAGGTACCATGTAGATTCAGTCATAACAGAGAATTACAATCATAACGCTCATTCTAACATTGCTACACTCCTACTTGGCACCATAGTGGTTATTAACTTCCTATCTCCAGCGAATGCAAAATGTGTTCGCCAAAGCAGCCAAACCTCGGCATTGGCACCTGCGTCCTTCGCACTTTGGCCACAGCTGTGCGCTTTATTATTTGCTACATATTTTCCTTTATTTTGATTCATGTGTTTAAAAACTTAGCCTCTTTTTAAGCAATCACGTCAGTGAGATCACAAGTATGTAATATGCATTACATCACATGTGAGAATTATTTTAATTCATGGGTCAATTTAAATAACCCCAGACCACCAGTAGGATGAGTAGGCCCTTAGGAACTGCAGACTGGTGGAGGCTGTGAGCTCTGTGAGGCCTGCCAGAGACTACCTCTCCTGCTCAGGAGCTGTGTGACCTTAGGCAGGTTACTTGCCTTCTCTGTACTACAGTTTGTAAAATGAGGATAAGAACTCTCTTCTGAAAGCTGAGGCTCAGAGAGGTAATGTGACTTGCCCAAGGTCACACAGCAATAAATGGTGTTTTAGACTCCTGTTACTACACCCAGCAAGCTCCTGGGGAATGCCTACAGGGACTCTGGGGAGCAGGATAAGGTCAGCCTTCCACGGTCCAGAGTGAAGCAGCAGCAGCTGAGCAGTTGATGGAGGGTAGAGGATGGTTCCCAGTTTGGTTTCTGACCTGCATCAAGCAGGTCTTCCATCACACAAGTCTGCTCAACACCCCATCAGGGCACTGACATTCAGGGAGCTAAAGTATTTGAGCTGAAGAGGCCTGGTGTGCTGCTGAACCCAACCCATTTCAAAGATGGGAGGACTGAGGCCCAGATAAGGGCAAGAACCCCATCGAGTTTAAGGAAAGGTAAGAGGCTGCTTGGGCCCCTCCTCCCTCAAACAGAGCCTGCTTCCCCCACCTCAGGGCCCAAGCCCGCCCCACCCCGCCTCACTCACCATGCTCACTGGGCCTGAAGGTGCCACTCCACAACCACTGCTGCCCAGCCCAAAGGTCCAGCTGGTAGGTGTCCCCACTGGCTATGTCATCCATCAGCATGTGGCACAGGCACACTGCACTCCCCTTGTTCTCAGGGACACACGTGCGGTTTCTGTAGAAACAGTGCTGCATTAGGCTGGTCGTGAGCACACAGGTGTCCCCCTGTATATGCCTCAAGGAACTACATGCTCTTCCAGTTCCCCGTCTGGTCCCTGCCTCAAGGACCAGATCAGAGTGGCCATGGGTGTGGTGGGGACAGTGGACTAGGACTGCCTTCCCTGCTGACCACAGCCCCTCACCACACCCACATGGACTCTGACACACCACTGGCCGTGGCCTTGGTCCCAGGACTCAGCTCATCCCTAAAGGCCAGTGAAAGTGAAGACCATGGCCCGGCCGGGCGTGGCTCAGCGGTTGAGCGTCGACCTAGGATCCAGGCAATCGGGGTTCAATTCCCGGTCAGGGCACATGCCCGGGTTGCGGGCTCGATCAATGACTCTCTCGTCGTTGATGTTTCTATCTCTCTCTCTCCCTCTCCTTTCCTCTCTCTGAAATCAATAAAGATATTTTTTTTTTTTAAAAAAAGTGAAGACCATGGCACTGAAGGCTCTGTAACAGCATGTGTGTGCTAGCACACCTCCGGAGCACAGCCTCTCCATGCACAGGACTGCCCGGCGCACCACACGAGATCCTAACATGCCTCCCAAACAGCCAGCCTGAGTCTCGTGGGCTGGGCCGGGGGCGGCAAACCTTTTCCGAAAAGGGCCGGACAGTAAGTATTCAGGCCTTTGAGAGCCATACCATCTCGTCCCTACTACTTAACTCTGCTGGGCAAGCACAAAAGCAGCCGTAGACGACATGTAGATGGATGGGCGGGGCTGTGTGCCAAAAGCACTTTATTTACAAAACAGGTGGTGGGCCCCCTGTGGCTCCTGGGCGTTTTCCATCTCTGATCGCGGCCCATGCACCACATGCAGAAGCCCAGCGCATGCACCTTAGCACATGGCGGAATGCCTTAGCACATCTGTGGATGTGCCTCCCTTCTGCTGTGCCAGAGGGCCTGACTCTTCGTGCCTCGAGTACCTGATCGTGTCCTGGGCACCCCTGTAACGGCACCCCGTCTACACGGATTGTCCCAGTGAACCACAGGGAACATGCACCCCACGTTCCATGCTGAACTCCACACTAACACTGTGCCCCAAACAACAGCCATGTCTGCAGGTCTCTGCGTGTGGTCTGGGAATCCACAGGTCAAACTGTCACAGGTCAGTAAGGAGCTAGGAAAATTCCAGGGCAAGTGGAATAGAGAACTGAGACAGGAAAGTTAAAACAAGGCCGAACAGTGTGGGCAATCTGCAGTCAGCTTGTAAATAATAAGCCATTATTTTCCCCAGCCAAGGACACTTGAGAACAAATGGTTAAAAGCCTCCCTAACAACAGAATGCAGGAAAGGAGCCGGGTGGGGAAAGGAAAAAAGGGCAGTTTTACTCCCTAAACAGAGAAGCCANCAGAATGCAGGAAAGGAGCTGGGTGGGGAAAGGAAAAAAGGGCAGTTTTACTCCCTAAACAGAGAAGCCAGCAGTCTCGAGGTTTGGCAAGATAAAATTCTCATAACTTCTGGGAAGGCTTCAACAAAGTAAAAAGGGACCTTGAGAATTAATCTGTACCAAAATATTCAGCAGAGGAATTTTGAAACCTATAGACAGGAAGGTATATAAGGCCTCGGACCCCCAAACAACTCGCTCTTCAGATGAGCTGAGAGCCCGGCTGCGCTTCATAAGCCAGACGTGTAGGTTTGCTTGCCTTGCTTCTTTAATAAAGGTGCTTGCTCTAATTGCTTTAATAAAATTGGCTTCATCACAGTGCAATCAAGGTCTCTTGGATAAATTCATTTATGTGAAAAGACAAGAATCGAGGTTGGGGACAGCCCTCTCCCACTGACTCGGGGCTGTCCAGTAACACCTCTCTGGTGTCGTGAGAGGTGCCTCTAACAGAACTGCTGCTTTACTCTCTTTCACACGCAGACGATGGAGTTTTCTAGAGGCCGCATGGTGAGTGATGTCATTGTTCTGATGGCTCGTGTGCTGTTGTGATTTAAATTTTCTGGTTTGATTCCTAATAGGGCCCTAGGCTGGTTTGGCTAAATGGTTAGAGTCTCAGCCCATGGACTGAAGGGTCCAGGTTCGATTCCAGCCAAGGGCATGTACCTTGGTTGCAGGCTCGATCCCAGGCCCCGGTTGGGGCGCTTGTGGGCAACCAATTGATGTGTCTCTCTCACATCGGTTTTTCTCTCCCTTCCACTCTCTAAAAAATATCCTCAGGTGAGGATTTTTTTTAAAAAATTCCTAATAGGGTAAATATCGATAGCTACAGGCTACCTAGACAAAAGCTTCTGGTGCTCACTAATTTTTAAGCATGCGAGAGTCCTGAGACCAACTGCTCGAGAACCGCTGGTTCCACCCACACCCACATGCCACTCGCCTGGGTGACACTGTGCTCAGAGCATTGCGACATACCCATCGTATCACACAAACTGTGCCCCAGTGCCCCAGCTCTAACCCTGTGCCCAGTGAGCACCGTGAACTGCATTTAGCACCCGGCACTCCAGGGCACCCCGGGCCCGGGCCAGCTTCCCGGCCTCCCCGCTGCACCCGGGCTTACTCGGAGTCCGGAAAGTCCAGCTGGTAGGTGAGGCGGAGCTCGGCGCTGCAGTTGGCGGCACTGCCCATCTCCCACTCACAGGTGGAGGTGCTCAGGTAGTCGGAGAAGCAGGTGGGCCGAACACTCCCTGAGGAGACAGGAGCGCTGAGCGGCGGAGCCCAACAGCAAGAGGGACACGCGCCACCAGGAAAGGGCGAAACCCCCCCGAACAGGACCAAGGGGCCCATCACAAAACAAGGAAACCGCAGTCCCAGGACCCGTCGCGTGCCAGTCTTCACAGGGCCTCCCAGCTGACACTGAGATGACTCCTAAAGCTGAAGAAGCACCCTGGGGTGCAGGGCCCATTGAGGGGATACCCCAAATGCACCTTTATGTCATGCAGCTCACCTCACCTACCTGTCCTTGGCCAAATTAAAGGACAAGTCCGTGACAGCCTGAGGAGTGCTACCTGCCAACAGGCACCTGCCCGGCAGGGGTGTGCGGGAGGCTGCTATCCCTGTGCCCGCTCCCACCTCATCTATTCTCCACCCATCTCTGAGCTCAGGAGGCTGACCCCCGGAGTCTCGTCACACAGGAGCCCTTGTCCTCTGGCTTCTTGTTGGGTTCAGCCAATTTCAAAGGGCAAGATGAAAGGTTGGGGTTCTTCTCCCAGCCAGTCAGTGGCACAGCTGGATTTGAACCCACCAGGATATCAACTGGGTTTGCCAATCACCTGAGAGCCATCACCCAGCTCTAGGCCATCCAGCACCTGACCAGCAGGCGTCTTCTTGCTCCAGTGGCCAGCACTGGCCCCATCATAGCTGCCCTCCACTTGCACTTGTTCCCTGGATAGAGGACTTACCATGGCAAGGAGAGTCATAGGTATCGATTAATATCTCAAACTCTCTTCATCGGCTCCTCAGAACCCATATTCCTCTGCACCTCAGAAATGGCAACTGCGTCCTTCCTGGTTGCTCAGGCCAGAATCTCAGGGTCATCCCTGACACCTCTCTCCCCTCAATCCAATCTGTTTTCAAATCTCCCTCTCAGAAGGATTCAGGAGTCAGTCCCCTCTCATCGCCTCTGCTGGGCCAAGCCACCTGGCTTACTGCACCCTGGCCTCCACCCTTGTGCTTACAGACAAAGGTATCCCTTTTAATGTAACAGGTCATGTCGCTGCTCTGCGAGGTCCTTCCTGACCTGGTCACCCTGTCCCCTGGCACCAGCCTCCTTTGGTTCCTCCAACACTCCAGGCAGGCTCTCAGCTCAGGCCTCCACTGAGCTCCTCCTCCCTCAGATACCTGCATGGCTCCCCCTTCCTTCAAGTCTTTGCTTGATTGCCTGTCACTCAATGAGAACTTCCTTGAGCACATATTTTAAATTGCAACCCTCCACTCCACCCAGCTTTCCCAGTCTTCCCTGCTTTATTCTATAATGTCTTCTCCCATCATCTTCTAATAATCCTTAGAATTTACTTATAACTAGGACAATCTGTCATTGGCAGTCTCCTCCCACTACCATGTAATCTCTTCAAGGCCAGGGATCTTTGTTTTTCTTTACTGACTGAGCCCGGCACATACAGTGAATATGCATTTACTGAATGAATGAATGAATGAATGAATGAATGAATGAATGAATGGGAGGTGGTAACTTACCAGAGCCTGCTGCCCACACCAGGATCAGGCAGCTCACAGGGAATGTGAGCCCAGAGCCAAGCCACCCCATTGAGAGATCCTAAGGCACCTGCTGAGAGAAAGTGGGCCAGGTTAGTGCTGACTCATGGTCCCCACCATCCCCATCATCCCGAGTGCAGCCCTCAGAACTCACCTTACTTCAGACACAACTGTCCCCCAACCCTGGCCATTTGCATCTCTGTCAACAATGAGCCCTCCCTCCATGTTCATCAGAGATCTGTTTATAATCATGAAACCCAACCCAGATGCACAAAGCCCGGAGTGAGTCACACAACACCTGTCCCAAGAGATGCTTCTTAAAAAAAGTCCCATGGCCTGCTGAGTTTGAGTGTCCCTCAGACTTTTGGAGTTCATAATGCACATTTGCATATAAAGGTACTGAGAAGTCCTGCAGTAAGAAAATTTATTTTTCTTCCTTTAACCCAACACTTACGAAATCTATTCCTATACCCAACCTTCATTTGTGTGTGTGTATAGGTCAAAACTCCGGAAGGATTTATACTTCCTTGAAATATAGTTTAAAAATGTTAACATGACTGTTCAACCTTACAGAGCTGGTTAAATAAATGATGATATACCCATGCAATGAAGTATTAGGCAGCCACTAAAAATAATGCTGTTGACTGTGTTAGACTGACCACAATGATGGCCCCAGTTTTCACTCCTGTGTCCATGTAACCTTGCAGTGCGCCCCCACCCCCACCACTCTGGGCAGAGCGTTCTCCCTGCATTTGGACGCTGGGCTCACCATATAACTAACTTTGGCCAGTAGAATATTAGCCAAAGTGAGGCATGCAGAGGCCTGCTTCGGCATGACCATTGCCTTGAGGACGTGCCTGGCCTAGCCTGTTGGAGGATTGTGACAGGCAAGTCGCAGCAGTTTCCTTCTGAATTAGGCAACAGGCAGCTGGCCCCGTCCTGTGAGTGAGCTCACATACAGGCAGGGCTGGCAGCTGACCTGAGCTGACCTCAGATGCACTAGTGAGCCCAAAGGTCAGCCAAGCCCAGATGACTGGCACCTGCATAAGTGAGTTAACTAAGTGGCCCTTATACGTGCTGAGGCTTTGTGCTTGTTCGTCACAGTGTTAGTATTGTTCCCCTGCTATTACCCCCGCAGCCTTACCTCTAACCCCACAGAGGATGCCTGCTGTTTTGTAGTTTATATCAGTGAAATCATGGACCACCCTCATTGTATTAACGGCATCCACAAGACATAACCGGGGAATAAAAATTAGAAGGTACAGACGCCCAAAGAGAAAACACAATTCAAATCCCCCAAGTCACAAAGCCCAGCAATAACCCCACTCACATATTAGTCTCTATCCTTTCAGACTGTTGCTATGAATATAGGGAGATAAATGTGAATTTTATTTACCAAAGCAGCAGCACCTTCTACACACGAAAACTTACGTTTTAAACTTACTCTATCACTAACATCGCTCCGCACCACAGACTTTCGATCTGAAGCCTCAGATCAGCGGGGTGCGCTGCGCACAGCACTGGGCTTGGCCCGTTCACTCTCGAGTTACTTTGTTACACACAGTGTGGTGCCCATGCCTGTCCCTGGAGAGCCATCACGCACCTTTCTCTGACTGTTCCCTTCAGTGTAAACACCTGCTCTGTCGTGTGCTCCTTATGAGCCTGAGCTAGCGGCTCCACCCCTCCGTGCCTCGGTTTCCATTGCGCTGCGGTGCTGTGAGGACTGGATGAGCTAACACGTGGAGGCCTCAAACGGTGACGTGGACACAGAAACGGCTGAGTAGGGTCGCCAGTGGTTATCATTAAGAATCCCATCGGGTCACGGAGTGTGCACGCCCCCAACACCCTGGTACCTAATGCCAAATGCCCTCTACGGAGCAATGTTCTGGGGCATATCCCCCGGCGGTGCTGACAGTGCCCACCCCCGTGCCCGCTTGGGTCTCTAGCTTGGGGTCTATTCCGAAAGGCAGCTGCCAGGCCTCCTCCTGCCACTTAGTAGCCACATGCTGTTCAGACAGTGACTCGGTCTCGCCGACTGCCACCAAGATGAAGCTCTCGGGTGCCCTGCGGGGGGGAAGCGGGGTGAGGGCCTGGCGCGCTGCTCAGTGTCTGGAGCACAGGGAGGGCCAAAGGCCACAGCAGGAGCCCCAGCGCCCTGCTGGAAGCTCTCCAGGGGCTTCATCCCGCCGGAAGGCTCTGCCCAGCNCTGTGCACAGTGCGCCTGTCACCCGCTGGCCCTCACTTCCTGCTGCTCTTCTAACGCACCCCACTCACGCCCACCTCCACGCCTTGCCTCCCGCCGTCCTTTCATTCCTATTCCTCCGCTCCCAGCCTCCCTTTCTTATCTATTCACAGAAATAAATTACCCTCAATGCCCCAGTGCAGATTTCAGGGAAGCGAGGACATCCTCCTGCACAGCGACACACGGCCATCAAAAGCAGGAAGTCACACTGGTGCATGACGCACCGAACCCGCTGACCCTATTTCCATTTTGCTAGTGGCCTCCACAGTGGCCTCTGTCAGCCCAGGACCCGGCAGTGTGTCTGATCGCCGGGCAGTCCCAGCGCCCAGGTCTTGGCTCCTAAATACTATTCTGCTGCGAAAGGAACCAGGGCCCTTTAGAGAAACGGCCGAGTCCAGGAGCAGGGCGGGATTCCTGCTGTGCCAAGAAGTAAGGAAGTGCTCCAAGAATGCTGGGGACACGTTAAAAAGACAGGCATCAGCTCGAATGGGTGCCCACTGGCCCAAATGGGCACAACTGAAGCATCGCAGTAAACATTATATAAACCAACTGTAACCCTAGGGAGTCTGCAGTGACAGATTGTAAATGGGGGAGAAGGGGACAGCTCTTGTCACCATGGCAGCCTCCATCTCCCCACCAACCTTGTATTAATTATTTACTAATTAATGAGTCAAAATAATTGACATTATAACTTTATATACTTTATATAATTGTATGTAAATTTATATACAGAGCCCGGCTGGGCGTGGCTCAGTGGTTGAGCATCGACCTAGGATCCAGGAGATCCGGGTTCCATTCCCGGCCAGGGCACATGCCTGGGTTGCGAGCTTGATCCCCAGTCGGGGGCGTGCAGGAGGCAGCCGATCAATGACTCTCTCATCATTGATGTTTCTACCTCTCTCCCTCTCCCTTCCTTTCTCTGAAATCAATAAAGATATATTAAAAAAAAAAAAGTATATACAGAAACCTGGAAGACACCACCTTAACCAAGTGATCAAAGTTAACATTGCCAAGAATGGGACAGGTCAAGGTCATGAGCTTTTTTTAAACTATGTCCCTAGAGGAACAGGACATTGCTTCTCTGGTGTTCCTGCGCCAAATTCACAAATCCTGCAGAAGCGTCAGACAGACCTAAACTGAGGGCATCCTACAAAGGAGCTGGCCTGTACCCACGGGGCAAAGGGCAAAGAGCGTGTGGGAGAGAGCGCTGTTCTTTCAAGGGCCTGCTGCCCCATCCCGAGGGCCGGCAGCTGCCTTGTTCACTGCCAACCTGCAGTACCTACATCGGGGTTGACACATAGCATGTGCTCAGCAAAGGTCTGTCGAATTAAGTCATTTTGGACAGACATGGTGTCCCAACAGTCTCCGCATGGGGCTGGAAAGCTCTCCCTAGGGGGAGACTGGGTACCCCACAAAGCCCCAGCCTGCCTTCCTCGCAGAGTCACGGTGCAGATGAGGAAGCAGTGGTGGGAGTGAGGTGGTGGGTCTGTGACGCTGGTTTCCTCTGCAAAGCCCCGGTAACTTTCCCTCTTGAAAGTTCACAGATGCCACAGCATCCTGTGGCAGAGATGGCAAAGGAGTCACTTTAGCCCCAATTTTGAATAAAGGGAAACAAAGAGGCCAAGAGGCCTGTCCAAGGTCACACAGCAGAAAGGCTACAGTGGTCAAGTCCTCCAATAGGGTGGACAATCGCAGCACACTGAGGGCAGTCCGGGTGTCATCTTTGATCTGACAAGTGCACGCGCACACACATACACATACACAGCCACACACCAGTTGGCTTCACAGGATGTGGGTGCTGCAGTTCAGGGAAACCATGGCACAGGTGCAGTGAGCGGAAAGGCCTCCCTGAACATCGCAGGGAACGAAGGACAGAGGTAAATAAGGAATTAAAAAGAATAATTACCAAGCCATCCCGGTCAAGCATGTGGCAAGAGGAAACAATTTCAAGTTCATACCCTCAGCCATGGATTCCTGACGTGCTGGAGTTGGGAGGGGTCTCAGCGGTTGCCTGCCTGGCTCAACTGCCAACCTGGACAGGGGTGCCCTGCAAATATCCCATCTCCAACATGCTGCTGTCCAGTGTCTGCTTGCACTCTTCCATAGACGGGGTGCTCATCCCCAGGTCATGGTTGAGCAGAGCCTGACTATCGGAAACAGCTTCCTTATGTTGAGCCAAGGACCTGTATAAATAAAATCCTGCTTGTCAACTGTCACATTGTGCTCGACACTTTGCTAAGGGCAGTAGAAGCATTTCCTTATCAAATCTCCCCAAGACGCTGCAAAATGGGTTCTTATTCCCACTTTCCACTCAAGGGAACTGAGGCCAGAGAGGTCCAATAACTTGCCCATCAGGTCCCACAGCTAATGAGAGGGCAGAGCTAAAGCCAGAACCCAGGTCAGTTGGCTTCTGAGCCCAAGGTACACTCCAATGTATCAACGCCTTCAACTTCTCCCAGGACCACAGGCTGAACCCAACAAGATGAATGAAATAAGCCAGAAAGATTCAAACATTGGTAGCCTGAGCGTAGAACCAGAAAGCCTAACTGAGCAGCAGAAAAGGCCAAGGATCTGTATTGTCTACAAACCCCCATGAGCCAGAGGTAAAGCAGCAACTTAAATGAACAAACAAAAAAGCCAACTAAAGCCGTATTAGCAGAGATTCGAGATCCAGCACAAAGGAGGTGATAGTGCCCAACCACATCTGTGCTTCCCTTTGGAAGAAATGCTGCTGGTTTGAAGCTTGTTGAGAGGATGACAGCTGGCACAGAGAGGGCCCCGAGTCCCAGAGGGTCGAAGGTCTGTGCCTAAAAAGCTCTGCCCCCTACATCCTGCAACCTCATCATTCATTTAACATATAATATTTACTACATGCCAATTTCCTTCTACACATTTTAATCATATTAACTCATTCAATACTTAAAACAGCTCCATAAAGCAGGTACTATTACTTCTCCCACTTTCAGATGAGGAAACCAAGGCACAGAAAGGTGCTAGTGACTTGCTGGAGGTTGCACAGCTGTGACAGTCCTGGGATATGAGCTCAAGCTCCAGAGGTTCAGCTCTCAACCTCTACCTCCGTATGCCAGCCAGAGTCCTTAATGTCCTGGAGACCACGGACCATTCTGAACATCTGATGTAAACTCCAAAGCCTCTTTCTAGAAAAGGCCAAACATTTAAGTTTGCATTCCATTTCAGGGGTCCCAAGTGAGGACTCCAGGTCACAGGCCCCCTCCTCTAGGCAATGAGCAGATTTTGAGGGTCTTTGAACAGAGTCGTGGCAAGATTTTTCTCCGCCCAGAGTGGGGCTGAGAAGATAACAGGATGGGGGACCGCGGGGGCAGTCAGCAGTTGCTGCAGACATGAGTCACCCCGGCTCTTCCCCATGCTGCAGGTAGTCATTTTTAATCAGAAACCAGGCATGAACTGCCTTCTCACACTTCTGGCTCCTGAAGGGTGTCTTCAACCAGAGGCCACAGATCCCCACGGGGTCATGGCCCATCCAAGAGGAGCGTCCCTGACATAGAACACAGTCCACAGACAGCAGTGAAAACAGCCAATCCAAAAGGGCGCAGTGCGAGATTCCATTTATGTAACATTCTTGAAATGACAGCACATGGAAATGGAGAACAGATTAGTGCCGGGGTTAAGTGGGGGTGGGCGGAAAGGGAGGCCCATGTGGCTATAAAAGGCAACACAGGGAGGGATCCCTGTGATTACCCAAACCTTCTGTATCTTGCCTTCGGTGGTGGACACACAGAGCTATGCGTGTGCTAAAACTGCACAAACTAAAGCCCTGCACACACGCGAACAAGTGCAGGAAAGCAAGGGGATCTGAGCAAGCTCATCGGGTGGCATCGATCTCAATATCCTGGTTGTGACCATGTACCATAGTTTTGTAAGATGTTACCCTGGGGGAAACATGTATAGTATTACTATATTATTAATATAATTTATATTATATTAATATAATAATCTATATTATTTCTCACATTGCATGGGAGTCTACGATTATCTTAAAAGTTTAAGAAAATAAAAAACCTCAAGCCCCCTGCCACCCACCTCCTGTCCCTCCT